CACCTCGCCAACATCGGCGACACCCGCTCGCTGATCATCCACCCCGCCTCCACCACCCACCGCCAGCTCACGCCGGAGCAGCAGGCCGCGGCCGGCGCCGGCCCCGAGGTGGTGCGCCTGTCGATCGGGCTGGAAACCCTGGACGACATCATCGGCGACCTCGACCAGGCGCTCGCGCAGGCCCGCAAGAAAGCGGCGGAATGATCTGATTATTCAGATTTTCTCCTGGCCTTCGAGCCTTGACGCCGGGGGTCAGATGAAGGAGGCGCTGCGCACCACCGCGGTGCGGCGGCCGTCGGGCGCCTCCACCTCGACCTGGGTGCCGCCGGTCCAGTGGGTCATCTGCACCATGCCGATGGCCACGTTGGTCGCGAAGTCGGGCGACCAGGCGGCCGAGGTGACCTGCCCCACCGGCGTCGCGCTGCCCGGCGCGTAGAGCGGCCAGGGCTCCAGGCAGGGGGGCACGGCCTCCCCCTCGATGGACAGGCTGCGGATCTGGCGCAGCGGCCCGTCGAGGGCGATGCGCAGCAGGGCGTCGCGGCCGGCGCAGCCGATCGCCGCCAGGGTGTTGCAGAAGCGGCCCAGGCCGCATTCGTGGGGCGTGTTCTCCCGCGTCATGTCGTTGCCGTAGGACAGGAGCTGCGCCTCGATCCGCTCGATCAGGTTGGGGCAGCCGGCGCGCACCTCCAGGTCGGCGCCGCGCTCCATCAGCGCGTCCCACAGCGGCCCGGCGATCGCCGCGGAGTCGACGTAGATCTCGAAGCCGCCCTGCTTGGAGTAGCCCGAGCGCGCGACCACCAGGTCCTGCCCCTGGAAGTCGAGCCGGCCGAAGCGGAAGAAGCGGATTTCGCGCACCGCCGGGCCGAACACGCGGGCCATCAGCGCCTCGGCCTTCGGCCCCTGCACGGCCAGCGGCCAGACCTCGGGTTCGGTGACGTCGACCTCCAGGCGGAAGCCGTAGGCCAGGCCCTTGGCCCAGAGCAGCAGGTCGCTGTCGGCGACGGAGATCCAGTAGCGGTCCTCGGCCAGCTTCACGGTGACCGGGTCGTTCAGCATCCCGCCGGTCTCGTCGACCATCGGCGTGTAGTAGCAGCGCCCCGGCGTCATGCCGCGCAGGTCGCGCGGAGTCAGCATCTGCAGCAGGCGCGCCGCCTCGCGCCCGCGCACCTCGACCTGCCGTTCGCAGCCGACGTCCCAAAGCTGCACATGGCGCTTGAGGTGGTGGTAGTCCGCCTCCAGCCCGGCGAAGGCCGTCGGCAGCAGCATGTGATTGTAGACCGTGTAGGCCGTGACGCCGGCCCGCTCGACCCGGTCGGAGAAGGGCGTGCGGCGCACCCGCCGCGACGGCGTCAGGGCATAGCTCTGCATGGACCGCCTCTCGCTTGCCAATCGATCCGGTCGGCCAGATTAGGCGCTTCGCGCCGGCCCGTTCGCCTGACGGCGACACGGAGATGGCGCGCAGACGCCAGGCGCGCCGGCCCGACGGGGCCCCAGCGCAGATGCCGGCCTGAAGGCCTCGCGACGCGATCTCTTCAGGTCGGCTGACTCTGCTCTAACACATTAAAGGGAGAGCGATTTGCGAGCGTCTGGGTTCGGGCGGTTTTCGCCCGACCGGCGGCCCCACCAAAGTGGGTCCACACGGTCGCAAACCGCCCTAGCGCATGGCGAAGAGCTCCTGGTGGAAGCGCCGCGCGACCGGCACCCCGAGCGCGCCCAGGTCCCGCCGCAACGCAGTGCCGAAGGCGCTGGGCCCGCAGAACCAGTAGCTGGCCTCGCACCAGCCCGGCACGGCCTCGCGAATGCGCGCGGCCGTCAGCCGCCCGTCGCGCGCGTCGACCAGGATGTGCAGCCGCACCCCGGCGCGCGCGGCGTCGTCGCGCAGGCGGGACAGGGCAGCCTCGTCGACCTCGGCGGTGGTGTGGAACAGATCGACCGGCTGGGGCGGCGGCGCCCCGGCGGCGCGCTGGCGCGCCAGATGCTTCATGCGGGCAACGAAGGGGGTGATGCCGATACCGCCGCCGATCCAGACCTGGCGCGGCGCCGCATCGTCGAAGGTGAAGCAGCCGTAGGGGCCTTCCACCGTCACGCTCTGACCGACGCGCAGGCTCTTTGCCAGCCGCCCGGTGTGGTCGCCAAGCGCCTTGGTGATGAAGACGATGCGCCGGTCCTCCGGGTCCCAGGCGGAGGCGATGGTGTAGGGATGCGCCCCCTCGGCCGGCCGGGAGGTGGCGAAGGCGAACTGGCCCGGCTTGTGGCCCGGCCAGCCCGGCGCCAGCTCGATCTCGGTCTCCAGCGCCCGCACGCCCGGGAAGGGGCAGAGCGCCGTGATCCGTCCCTCCACCCGGCGTCGCGCTGCGACCCGGCCGAGCAGGACCACGACGGCGGCATAGACCCCCAGCGCCAGCAGCAGCGCCAGGGCCAGGCCGCCGGGCGTGCTCCAGTAGCTGAACTTCATCAACACCAGGGCGTGCCCCGCCAGCGCCAGATAGGCGATGGCCAGCAGGCGGTGCGTCTTGGCGAAGAGGTGGTAGGGAACGCGCTTGACGAGCGCCACGACGATCAGCAGGACCGTGGCGTAGAAGGCCCATTCGCCGAGCGCCTCGGCCGTGTGGCGCTGACTGAGCAGGACCTGCAGCAGCTCGCTGTCCGGCGCGGCGCGCGGCCCGCGCTCGGGACGCGCGAGCAGGCCGTAGCCGACCGCCCACTTGGGGGCCTCGGACCAGAGCCAGTGCACCACGGCGAGGACCAGACCGGCGATCCCCAGCCACTTGTGCAGGCGATACATCTTGTCCAGGCCGCCCAGCCAGCGCTCGGGCCAGCGCGGCCGCAGCGCGAGCAGCATCGCCACGCTCATCGCGCCGATCGCCAGGAAGCCGCTGTACTGGACCATTTGTCCGCGCAGCGCAAAGAAACCGGCGCCCGCGAAGAGACGCGGCTCGGCCGCCAGCCAGGCCAGCGTCAAGAGTAGCAACACGGCCCAGAAGGCGCGCTTGATGGTCGTCATGATCGGCGTCGCTTACCCGGGAAAGAAGAGAGGGGACCGCCTCGCAGCGCCCCCTTTCCGCCTACGCCTTTGGGGCTAGTCCGACATTGACGCAGGTCACTCGCGCGGCGCGCCCGGCCGGCTAGGAAGTGCGGCGCCGTCGCACGATGGCGAAGACTCACGCTGACCCTGACGTGCGAGCGGGGCCCCCGCTCCCCAGGGTGATGTGCGGCCGTCCGGACTCGCTTCGGCGCGGCCGAAGGTCGCGAACCATCGCGCTCGCCCTATGCTGCAGAGCCGGTATCTCGTGATCGGCGGGCCCGCGCGCGAGCCCAGACGCGCACACCACCCCGTTCCCCGGCCGCGAAGGACGCCGCCCCATGACCGCTATCCCCCCGCCCCTGATCTACGTCGATGCCGACGCCTGTCCGGTGAAGGCGGAGGTCTACCGCGTGGCCGAGCGCTACGGCCTGGCGGTGAAGCTGGTCGCGAACGACATCATGAGCGTGCCGCGCCACGGCCCGGCGGTCGAGCTGGTGGTGGTGAGCGACCGCTTCGATGCCGCCGACGACTGGATCGCCG